TCAAAAGAACTAATCAATTTCTGTTATCTGAAATTTTGAGATGAAAGGGTTTCATTATTTTACAATTTTTCCAGGAAGTGCCATGGCCTAATGTTAGCAGTGCAGAAAATAAAATCAGCAAACCAAGTTCAAATTTCAGTCAAGAAGTTTGTGTTCACTTTGTAAAAATTCTCTTGAAACAAAAAAAAGGGGGGGTATGAATCCATTTCTTCTGCTCAGCTATGGTTTAAATAGCAAGGCAGACTGGGCTCTCAACTTTTGGTTGGAAACCAAATTAAGTGTGTATATTAATTAATGGTGCTTTCAATGACATTTTAGCAACTCCTGTGATGACACTGTAATGACCTTTACCCTTCCTTCAGCTGCAGAAAGAAAGTGAAGACTAGATGTATAGGTGAAGCTGCCTCTTTTCTTTACAACCTTGCCTAGATCTGCAACATGAAGAGGAAGCAAGACTTTTTAAATATAAAGTCTCATGAAACAGAGATGCCATGGCCATTTATAGACTTTATTTTTTTATTGACTGATTGATTTGTTTTTTGTGGCTTATTAATCCTTTGCAGGTTATTTAAAGCCAGAAAATATTTTTAGAATGTAAGAGATTTTTGGAGATAATAACGATTTGCTGATACAAGTCCTACTAATTAACCCATAGCTGGGAGGCAAATAGTTTGATTCATACCTTGATTCATACTCTGATTTCCATTATAAATTACACCACCCACACATGGTATTCTCAAGCAGTCACCCATCTAGGTATTGACAAAGCTTAATGTTGCTTAACTTCAGTGATCTTGTAAGAACCAATGTTTCAATGTGATATGGCCACAAGCCATTTATTGACATATCGTTACATTTTGGTTGCTTTTTATCATAATCACTGCTTTTTGGCCAGAGTGTCATAACACAAAGATGAAGATATGTCTGAATAACTTATAAAATAATAATCATTTTTTTTTCAGACTTCATTTCACACATTATTTGCAGTCATATTAATGTCCTCATCTTTGTTGTCACAATATTTTTTTTGGTCATCATGACCTGTCTATTCAAGTAATCTTCAATGAATTTCAAACTGGACCCTTTCTTCTAACGTTCTCATTCTGTTGTCCATGTCTAGAGACATTTCATTGTTGGTTGTCATTTTAGTACCATTCAATTATTATTAGTACTGTTTCCACTGAACTTGAATATATCCATACTACTTGGCCTAGGAACTGAACTCACAACTATTATGCCACCAATTTCACTAGCTAACACTTTAATCCTTTATTATGGAGCAGACAAGCAATAGTATAATTTTTTTTTTGGGGGGGTGTTCAGGTGAGCTACAATGTTTCTTGTTAGTTGCAGTACTGCTGCAGAGTGTGTTTTGTTTTAAATTTGTAAGCCCATGCCATAGTCCTGTGCTTAAAGAAAAACTCAAATGCAGAAAATAGTTTGGCAAGCAAGTCACATCCTTCATGTTACTGGCTGATGTGCAATATAATATCAGAGTGGAAAAAGAAAGAATGCAGTTTTGAATTAACCACATTAACTCTAATCAGGAATTCTCACCTCAGTAGTCACTTTCCCACCGCCCTAAAGTTGCCTCCCTGTGTCTTTTCTATAAATACTTTCATGGTAATTGTTCAAATGTGTTCTTCATTATGGTACCTAGACTTTATGAATATTAGTGCAGGACTAGACTGGCAGCTAGGTCTTATAATTTCACTGTTGAAATTGCTAGTTGTAACCGTAAGTTCTATGCTAATAGTTTCTTCTCTCACATCTCCCACTTGTGGAACTCTCTTCTGGCTCCATGCTTTCCAGCCAACTTTAATCTTCAAAAATTTAAATGCAATGTCAATCACTATCTACTATTCTCCTGATTACTCTTCTTCTGTACTCTCTCCTTAATAGTGTTTCCATTTTTTAATTCTTCCACACCCAGTAGTAACCTCTTGTTGCTTGGGACGAATTTGATTAAGAAAAAAAGAAAATGTATTTCTGCAAGAGAAAGTGCCAATTTAAAATGCTCCCCTTATTGGACTTGTAATCGAAAAGAAGTTATAAGTAAAATTAAAATAAATCTCTTCAGTTTTACAATCTCTTTTGCATCTGCAAAATAAGTGAGGCTAAGAAGGAGGAAGTATTGAATAGCTCTCGGCCTAGGCCAATATCCCAAATTTGAGTATTATTTTTTGACTGTAGTTTTCTTATATATTGTAATTCGCCAATTCGTAATATCATTGTACTTATTTTTTAATTTATCTTAGATCATTAACCATGGAAAGTATTGAACTCTGAGCTGGCATGATGCCTCTGTATTTTTGCAAAAAACACCAAAGTGAGGTACATAAATAAAAGTGGGTGGGTGTTTTAAAAAAAAAAAAAAAAAAAAAACGAGAGTTATTGACTTCTCTGGTATTTTATGCCAGAAATGAATTATCAGTCCAAGCCTCTGAGGGACCCTCCTCCCAGGCAGTACCTCTCCTTCGGGAAGGAGTTGGGGTCGAGTTGACCGAGCAATTTTTGTACAGCATTTCCGAAATCGAATATTAAACTCCGACCTTGTGTCACATTCTGTTGCGACGTGGGATAAGCTGCAAGCACCTACTTCTGAAATGTCTTGGTGCGTGATGTCAGCGACATTTAGAGACCGCTCCTGTGCAAAAAGTCTGCGGTTCAATAAATAAACTTCCTTGTCTGAGCATAAACTAGGAGATTATGTGAGTAAGTAAAAAGTAAAAACTTAAGCAAGCGCATATGAAAAAAAAAAAAAAACCCAAAAAACAACGAACACCTCATCTTGTTCAATCAGTAATTGCTTTTTGTTCGAGTTTACTTTTTTTACAAGAAGATACACTTTCTCTTTAGTCTTTAGTCTTTGTCTTTACTTTACTCTTTCGTTATGCAAGCTAAATTTTTGTGTGAATTTTATGCAATCTAACAGATTATTTTGTATTTTTAGTTTCTTCTAAAACTAAATACCATGCACAACAACTCATGAATTTATTTACTTTAAGCTACATACTTACACTACAAACTTTATGTTTGGCCACGCACCCTGTGGATCATCTTAAAAACTGTCATCATACCAAAAAAAAAATTTAAAAAAAAAAATTATAAAATAGAAGGAGAAAAAAAATTCAACTAGTTAGTGTCTTTTGTTTTCATGATCTTAGGAAGAAAACAATTACTGTCTACAGTACACAAAGTATTTACTTAACATTTCAATAAAAGCTCTTCTTTCATTTTTCCATAATCCCTTTTTTGCTTCAAGTTTTTTTCTCAGGTGACCAATTCTTTGATGAAATAAAAAAAAAAAAAACTGTTTCGTCCTTAACCATCACTTCTTATTTGAAATGAAATAAGATGAGGATAAAATCATAAAAACCCATATTAAAATTCAAAGTCTCTTGTTGAAAGAAATTTCATATCTCATATCGCGGAAAAAAAATGTTTTATTTTTCTCATTTAATTAAGAAAATTAAAGAATCAACATTCAGTAGTAAAAAAAAAAACGCGACAGAAAACGAGATGGATTACTTCATTAATTAGAACTTAATTGTTTATATTAAAGAAGACAATAAAACTGTACCGAAAAAAGTCTTTACACATACACACAAAAAAAAAAACCTTCTCAAAAATGGATTTTTTAGTATTAGAAAATCACGAAGAAATACATAGATGAGATGAGAATGTTTGTCTTTAGTTTAGCGAGTGAGTCCATGTTACGTTTAAGAATAAGATGTTCACGTGACTAAAAACAAACGCTGCCTCATGTATGGCTTAGGAAACAAGAACAGCATAACATAGCTTCTTTCTGCATTAAAAATTGATTTTGTTAAAATCAAGTCTTTATTCATTTTCCCAACGATAAAAATAAAAATAAGACTAATTTTCAGTAGTAGATCTGAAAGGAAAAACTACAACAAAATAAAAATAAATAATGGAAATTTTGTCATTCCTTCTACACAGAATTTGGGACTTGCTTGCCTTAAAAACAACTAAAACTAAAAACTATTTTCTTTTCCTTGCCAAGTTCGATTATTAATATTTTTTCATTTTTCTTTTTGAAAAAACAAAAAAGAACAGCGGATGTCTGTAGTAACTAAAAAAGGCGACGGGGATAATCCCCCCCCCAAAAAAAATAGATATATCAGTTCTAATTTAAAAACAGATATCCATTTTTAAATTTATTTTAAATTTAAATGATCAGCTGACAAAAACGAGAAAACTAAAAAAGATTACCATATATATTGTAAATAAAATAAAGTTAAAAAAAGTACACGAAAAAACACGAAGTCATTTTTCACATAATTTCATAAAATTATTTAAATGTCTTATCTATTTATTAAAAAAGTAAATAGTTTTGAATTTTGTAGGAAAGTTATACAAAATTTTAAACAAAATTAAAAAATAAGTAAATAATTTTCAATACTATCAAGGCCAAGAACCGATTTCAGTTTTATTATTTTCGACAGATTTCTAACTTTTCACATCCTTTTCTGAATTTCGCATTTTAGATAACAATTTCATTTAATGATATGGTGTATTATGTACACGTATGAAATATTTGTTTCAATGTGTTCAAAATAAACCCGAACAGGTTAATGATGATCGAATCGAAGGGAAAAAGTGAACAGCTATTATTTTTAATCCTCGGTAAAGAAAGTGTAAGTATTTTTATTAATCCTCAGGAAAGTGTAAGTAAGTAGTAAATCTCTTAATCTGTGATTGACTGACAACAGAAGCCAAACTTAAAGAAAAACAGAAGGATAGCGTCGTTGGATTTCTTTGCAAGTAGAGAAATAAAAAGAGGAGCAGGAGCGATTCTTAATTCCTTTTTTTTTTTTTTTTTTTTTTTTTTTTTTGAGAAGTTAGAAGAGGCTGAGTCATCAATCGATTCATTTAATTTTAATAATAATAATAAGAGGAGACGCACAATAAAGACGACCAAGGAGTCGTGAACATAATAAAAGAAAGATCGGAGTTTAATTTAAAAGATTACCTACCTCAAGAATTCCACAGGAACGGTGTGAGCTGGTCCATACATCCACCTCAGCGGTTAAACTATCATGAGCCAAACTCGTAGTCCCCCGATCGTCCCCGTTGATAGTATTTGAATAACCGCCCGAATCAGTCCCTTGGTGGTTTTCATCACCAGAGGACATGGTTGGGCTCGATTTAAAAAAATCTTTTCAAAATAACTCACTTTTGGGGGGTGTCTACTTCCACCACAACCCAAAAAAGGAAAACTTTGATTTTATAAACACATGATAAAAAGCGGTGTTGTAGGAGTGACAGCAGATATATTTACGGTGATAAAACGCGAATGTCCCTGATATAAATTATATCCGAACTGAAATAAGAAAAAAGAAATTAATAAATGTTTTCTGGATGAATTGAATACTAAAGAAAGATCCTAAAATAATTACAACATAAATAAAAAGAAAATTAATAAAATACGATGTTTAAGCTTTATTAAAAACTTAAAAAAATTAAGTTTTTATTTTTGTTTCCTTTCATATTTTATTTTTACAATATTGTTTTAGTTGTAAAACTTCTTTTTTTTTTTTTTTAGCTGCAAACTAATTTTTAAAATAATTGTTACAGTTCTGTTACAGTGACATAGTTATAGTTACAACAATAACATTTTGGACAAATAAAAAAAACATGTATTGTGCATGTTATTGTAAATCATTACAATAACATGCACAATAATACATGTTTTTTTTTTTTACTAAACAATTTACATTAATAATGTAATTGTGTAGTTTTCATTTTCATGTATCAACTGTAAGAAGAAGCAAAAAATAAAATATAATGACTGATAAATTTGTCTTTTAAAATTCCTAGCAAGTTAAAGAAAATGCAGAAATCATGTACATTTTGTTTACAAATAAAGAAAGGATTTTTCAAAAATATACATCAAACGGGGCTGTAAAAAAATATAAGTAAGTATCTGTAATCAGAATAAAAAAAGTATGAATTTTTAAAATTAAACTGAAAATGACTGAGAGTCAATAACAACAACAACAAAAAAAACTTGAAAAAAAAAGATATGGTCTGCGAATAAAAAGCAGCACCGTGGATGAAGATTGAAGAAGAATCTTCCCTTCTGTTGCAGTATTAGCACGCACACGAAGAACAATGATTACAGCTGGAAATATAAGAAGTTGATTATTCCGTATTTCTGCGACTACTGAATGACAGGTAGGCGGCGGCAGTCATTGCGTTTTGTAGTGTCACATGGTAATTAGGGGGCTGGCTTTTACGAGGATCACAGATAAAAATAAAGGTTAGGTTAACGCAACGGTTTATCATACTAACTAAAAACTAAAGTCTTTTTTAATTTAAAGTAGTAAAACATCAAATAACCACAATAATGTTATCTTTCAGTGTGGTCACTAGATTAGTCAGTTGCTTTCTGAGGTTTTCGTTTCATATTCTTTCTGCTTTTGAGCGTACATCAGTTACTTTTTAGGGTTTTTTGTTTGTGTGTGTGCACACGTTTGTGAAAAAAGGGCGTTTTTTCGTATTAGCATAATCACTACTGATGCAAGAAAAATGTATTCAATTGTAGTTGAACTAACAGCACATTTAATTTCTTAAAACATTCAATAATCGGTTTTGAAAACATAGCAATTGAGTAGTAATGGTAAGATATTTTCTGGCAATAAAAGATAGAGAAAAGGAGAGAGAGAAAATAATTTTTATTTTTTCATTTGAAACAGGCTCGTTGTAATACAAGAATTCACCATTTTATGATGTTTTTAGTTTTTTTTTTTTACTATTTCATTTTTTTCACAATCTCGAAAAAACTAATAATTCGGCCAACAATTTTCAATGCGGAATTATCCATTTTTCTTCTTTCAATATGCTGCAAATAAAACACTAGTCTAACTACAAATTCTCAAACTTATATTGATACAATTCCGTCTTTTTAAAACTGAACGACAATACTTATACTGCAAACTCAAAATGACAGCTGAAATTTTTGGCTTTATGTCCTGTTTGAAAATATATTTTCAAATCCATGAAAATGACAATTTTGTTTGAGTATGAAGATCTAGCTTTCTGCTTTTACTTGTTGAAATATTTTTCTTTTATACACATCCTTCGACGTGGGCGATCATGGCTCTCTACCATTTCCCGTCTTTTGTTGCTCTACTAAGTATTTTCCTTTTACTACCCTTTTTAAATTACTCGCTGTTTTCCCGTGTTTCTCGTGTTTTCAATATGTCTAGTCCTGGGTATGACGATAAACTACATCCTGATCAGGAGAAGGGAGGTTTTGAGGAGCTTGGAATCATCTCTTAATTGCTGTTGTTCCCATGCCCACCCTGACCTGTCCGTGGTGGTAGCACCTGTTAGGGTTCTAACTATGGGCAAATAGCGAACCCCCGAACAAAACACTATGAAAGTATAAAAATTCATTTTTATACTAAAAATACCAGCAATACATTTTTATATCATAATTACCAACAAATTTATAGTAAAATTACCAACAATACTCATAGAGTCTGTCTATATTTCTGAGATGAGGTATTATGTACATTATTTACATTATTCGGACTATTGTCCTCATCTTTGTCGCCATATTCATTACAACGTTTCAAGGACACATGGCACAGTGGATAAAGACGTTGGTTAGATCCAGTGACAGGACCCAAAGAGTGTGAGTTCAATACCCGGTTAAGGCAGTAGAGAACTTTCAGAGGGAAATTAACAGGTGATAACTGATAACTGACATCCATCGCACGTGGAACTAGAATAGTCTACCCCAGTGAGCGAAATAAAAGGTTCAGTTCGACATTCCAACCACCTGAAGAAGGCCGGAGCGTACAACGGCCGAAACGTTGTAATGAATGTGGCGACAAAGATGAGGACAATAGTCCGAATAATGTAAATAATACTCATATAGTAACAAATTGTCGCGACTTCATCCAAATCCGTTTAAAATATTACCAAACAACCAACATAAAAGAACTCTTTCATTATTATAATCCATATAATATCCTGCAATTTCTGAAATCATACGGTATTTCAAAATATAACTTCAATAAAATTATAACATAAAACACATATCACCGCCTTTAGTAAATTTGTCTACACAAACATGCATATGCACAAAAGCTGAGTATCATCTACCATGTATTCAATTGTGAAAGCAGAATAACATATATTTTTTATATATTACTTCTAAGCTCCTAAGAAAATTAAATTTCGGTATTAAATGACCCATAAGGAGTTGATATGCCGTTAAACAAATCAATCAATCTTCAATATGTCACGTGGGTGTTAGATTATCCGAGTCTTCTTTCCTTGTTATATGTCTCCAAAATTTCAGCTGTCTCTTTCTGATTGTTAGCAGGAATTTCTTTGTAGTTTCTTTTCTCCTAAAATCTTCCTTGTTACTCACGTGTTCTGTCGACGGTATTCTCAACATTTGCCAGTAGACTCATAACTTAACCCCCCCCCCAAAAAAAAACAGGCTTATAGGAGCACTACCAAAACGTTGAATGACCAGAATCTGACCTTACCTCTGACCTTTCTCGCATTGTGTGTAGGAACTGGTTTGTAACATTAAATATCTCCAAAAGCCATGTAGTAACGGTTCATTATCACTGAGCAGATCCTGAGTTTTCTCCAGTTATGATGGACGGTTGTACTTTTAATGAGGCTCCTTGGCCGGAAAGTTTATTGGGACTCAAGCTCTATCCTACATACTCCCATAATATGCACATCTTTCTTCCTCTCTTACTACAACCTCACTTAGTAATCATCTATTTTGAGTCGGCTCTTTTTTTTAAATTTTAATTCGCCCCAAGCAAGGTAATAATGTCACTATGACGAAAGGAGCTACTGGGAGTGAAAGAGGATGAAAAGACTTTACAAGGAACCGGATTTACCATTACTCCTATTCAAAAGACCGGGATAGGAGTGTGAACCAGGTGATAGGCGAACCTATCTACGGAATAAGGAAAAAAAATCGTAAATAAAATGACAGGGTTCAGACAGAGACATTGTATTTAAGAAAATAGGGATGAAAAATAGTAGGAAAAATAAAATAAGATAAAATTAAGAACAATGAGAGGGTGGTGGGTTTCCACATCAAATATATGTATTTTGCTGTCTTAGGAATCTGTCAGCTCATTAATAAGTTTTGAATTTTAACTTATACTAAGCGGGAGAAACTAAAAATCGTTAAAATGTTTGTTTGTCCCTGCCTTTCGCACGCTATATATTTTGAGGCGCATTGGATAACACGTTAAAGCCTCATGGTTGGATCTGGTCAGAGGAAATTGAAAAAAGACGACTTGTTCCTTGTTCCTTGTTAAACGCAGACGATTACAGAAGAATAAACTTTACCTCTTGTTTGACCTCTTGCTTTCTTCAATCTGCATTATTGGTCCAAAAATTATAACAAAAGTGAATTGTATTTCTTCATCGTACCACGAGACTAGAAGATCACTGACCCCCCCCCCAAAAAAAAATCACGTGACTTTGGTAATGTGACTGACCATTCCGTGATTGTGTTGCGCTACAAATATCTGTTAGCCTTGTATATTCTCTATGAATTTATACAGTAGCTTGAATGGTGAACGAAAACATTCCAAGAATCTTCGGAAATGTCTATTACCCGATTCAATGGGTCATAGTGCGATGCTGCTCACAGATCGATCGATTCATCGATCGATCGATAGATGGACTGGAAGAATGGGCCAGAAATCCGCTTCCAAAATCAGCAAAGTCAGCTTTGTAGAACTTTTTTTCACTTTCTTGTTTCTCTTGACAGGAAATACAGTCCTGGGTTCACAGATATATGCTCTTTGGGTAGTTGGCCTTAAGCCATAGTAAAATATGGGCCTGCAGTACCATGTTTTGCATCTATCTTTTTACCAAGCATGTTGAAGAATGGGGGGGGGCACCTTTTCCCTGTTTTAAGACCATTACCCGAGCTGGGTGTTTGGTCCTGAAGGTGCCCTTGACATCAAGTGTTAACTGTTTGGTATCGCTCGTTTTGGTGGTTCAAAACTGCGTCTCTCGTGAAGATTTTCTCGTCAGACACTTTAACACTGGGCGCATGATTCTTTTTGCATCTTTCCAACCACTTCACTGTTATAGACTTCGTCATGAATTTTTTTGTCATCCTGATGAAAGATTTAAGGCTCAAGTCGTCATGCACGACTATTCTAATTATTTTGGTGTCCACTTTTAGCTCAGCATTTATCTTATGCGTGGATGTAATTGGGTCCTTTGAAATTTTGTTCTCGAGGACGTTAATGAAATAGCGATTCGGCTTCTTCTTAAATCCGCCAATAACTAGCTTCTTCTGGATACCATTGCCTATGCCGTTACTGTTCTACTTACTCTACTGGGGATGTTTTTAAGATCAAATTGTGTTCGAAGAAAGTATGAAAATCTTTTGTGAAAACGTTTTTCATGATATTCCTGACAGTATATTACTTGTTCTGCATTTGTTTTCACATCATTTGGTCTCTTGTTTGGTAAGAAGTTTTAGCTAAAATTTTACTGTAAGTTTTGCTTCACCTCTCTCTCTTTCTCTCTCTCTCTCTTTCTCTCTCTCTCTCTCTCACCCTATCTATCTTCTATGTGTCGTATCACTTCAGAATGTTGTCGATCATGACTCTCCACAATTTCGTGTCATTTGTAGTTCTTAATAAATTTTATTATTGCTCCTAAACCTTATTTCGTCATCTATTTGTAGAGAGCGTTTTAGCTACAATTTGTTTCGTCAGCCCCACGGTAGCAATAGCAACATGAATAAACACAAACATGGATTTATAGAACAAGCAATAACAACTATTTATTTGGTGGAAAACTGGCACTGTGGAAAAGAAAAAGGATGAGTCTCTGTCAAAGCAGTTCATTGTGGTAATGGCAAGCATCCATTATAAATCACACGTGTAAGCTTTTGGCGCGTATTTGGTTTTAGTATGCGAAGCTCGTACTTACAAATAAATTTAATTATCTATCGGTGGAGTGTTAGTTATCTTTCAAATTCCTCGTTCGAGAGTGAAATTTGCGGTGCCGGTGTCGTGCAGATGTGTAGTTCTTAGTCCCTCGATGCGGCTGTTTACTCTCTCTGTTGTTATACCGCTACATGCCTAAATGCTAATTCTCTTCCGTTTATATCAGCAGAGATAGGTTCATTTTGACCAAAATTTTAGATTCTCGAGCTTCCGTTTGATTGGCCAGGCGTTGAA